TTTTTTCTTAATATGTTAATTTGAGATTCTGTTTGCAGGAGGCTGGTACTTCGTTTGATGGGAGAAGAAAAGACAAGGGCAAGGCCCCTATGACAGCAGAGATGGAACAAAATGGACAGTCGAGTAAAGGGCAGGGAAGAAAAGCGCCACGCGGACCTGGTATCTATATAAATGACCCATCTGAACTCCAGGTTTGAAGACTGATGCTAGTTTCCATGTGTTTTAACTTGTGGTTTATTTTAATTAGTGTACACAAAGTTAATGGAACAGCCTGTTGTGCAGGGAGACAGGCATACTCATCCAACCCAATTTCATAAGACACGACCCCGAAGAGGAGCATCTAAGGGGGGCTCAAGTGATGCTGGATGCTCAAGGATTGTTTAAATCTTCAATTTTTGTCTATGCAAAGTGTTGTCTATGTTGTATTTTGTGTGAAACTTCGATGTAGTGTTGTGTGAAGGCCTTTTTGTGCCACTGTGAGTGTATTTGATAGACTTGGAAAGCTTGTTTCCAAATTAGAGTATTTCAGGGGGTGCAAGTGATGTTAGACGCTGAAAGATGTTGTAAGTCTTAAACTTCTCTCTGTGCAAATTGTTGTCTATGTTGTATTTTGTGTGAAACTTTGATGTAGTGCCGTGCGAAGGTCAAGGTGACTTTCTTGTCTAGCCAAAGACCTTTTTGTGCCACTAGGAGTGTATTTCCTGAAATACACTCCTGAACTCTTGAATAAGGGTTAGAGTACTCTTGTTCTTCTTGAAATAAATATTCCTTTTGTCTCTCTCTATTCCACTGTTCATTACACATTTTAATAGTGCAAGATTGCTGAAGCTGGCAAGTTGTTTTTCACTCTGCAGCAGGTGACTGAATGATATATTGGATAAACCAGTATTAGCACAACTACAGGTTGCTTAACAATAAACATGTTTCTCAACGAAGGGGAATTCTCGGCAAAAGCTGCTTCGAAATCAAGAAATGCTAATGCTATAAGATTTTTACTAAAGAAAATGCAGAGTATCAAAAATAATTATTTCATATGAATTCATAATTCATACTAAGGAAAATCATATATCATTATATGGGACATCAACCTGTTTTGGCTCTTTAGTTAAGGACATTCATAGCTGTATATAATTCGAGTCAAGTAATAGCAAATCATAACAAAAGAATTATAGAAGAACGAGATAGAGTTTGTAAACAATATCAAAATCTTTTTCAAATACATCTCCTATAAAACTTTTCCCTTTCAGCTTTAGGCACACCAGCTCTTTTATCCAATATAAACAATTCAATCATAATCTAACCTTGATGAGTTTACTAATTTAGATATATTTGTCACTTACCTGACTTCCTGTGAAGGAAGTTGAATCAAATACAAAATTAAAAAGCAAAGAATCAGGGCCTCGGCCAACTAAGGAAACAACCAGCAGAGGTAAAAGGGAAAGTATATGAGGCAATTAAAAACCAAAGCACACTACAAGGAAGGATTGATGCAATAATCATCTCCATGATTTTAGGCAGAGTTCTAGGATCTAAATGCATTATTGTAATTATGCTTATGTAACTATCTATATACACACAAATCTTGCACAAAATAATATTATCGAATATAGTTTCAAGGACAATGATTAATACACCATTTGATTTAACACACTGCACAATACACTCCGGTTTAATCATTAAAATTTATCTTTGAAAATTTTCCCACTATGAATTCAAATTTGAAAATAATAATTTTTTAATAAATGTGTTGTAGAGTATATTGAATCGAAAGATGTACAAATCATTTGCTCGGTTTTAATATTCTCTATCAATTTTGTCTTTCATTTTCTTCACTTCCGGGATTTTGTATGCAATGGTTATGTTAAATTTCCTCCAATATCTCAATGTTTCAAAATGTAGAATAAAAAATAATTTAATTTTTGAAAGATTAAAAAATAAAATGAAAATTTAACCATTGCAAATAATAGAAATTCAAGTTACTCTATATTATATATTTATCTCGAGTTTTGAGTACACTTGAACAACTCATTAACATTGAGGCAGAAAAAGAATGACATTACGTTCACATATAATTGATAATCAAATTGTCATAAAAAGCCTGTGAAGTCTCTATTGCTGTGGTAAAACCGCAAAATACTAAGCTCGAATCTTACTTTATGATTTTATGTGGGTTTTGATATGAAGCATCGGTGCACTCATAATCCACTTACATTTTCTCTTCCTTGGTTTATTTTATACATTTTCATTTTCGTTATTTTTTATATGATACTTTTCCATAATTTTTAGATCACATCAATAATCAAATAATAAGACAAATTTTCATATTTTAACATCTCTACTATCTCATTGATTGAACGTGGTATAAATTAAATAAGGACATAAGCTTAGTTTGATGGTGCTAAACTGTAATTGCAACTGTAGGTATTTTTTGATTTTTTAACTTTTTAAAAATATATAAAATTTATTTAATATTTTTTAATTAATATTTTATATATTTTTAAAATAATAAAAAGACATAAAAATAAAAAATAAAAATACTGAAAAGTGCTTCCAAACAAGACTATAATCTTTCATAAATCATAATCTTTCAAATATCATATTTTTAATTAAATTTTTTTAAAAAAATTATGCCTTAATTTGTACCAAATCCCGAGCTTTTTAAAAGCCTCAATACTGGATTTAGGATTAGGCCTCTCTAGGGCTTTTGGGTTGGAAGAAGTAAGAAAATAAAAGAGTCGGGCTTTTATCACTCGAGGGACGGTGGGGGAAGTGTGATTGTAATTCAGAGAAGTTAGAAACAGCCCAAGTC